AAGGATGCACCTTAAATTGTACGTTGAAAAGTACCAAAAATTAAGTCGGCCCAGACAGAGCGGCGACAGGGAGCTGACCCCCGTGACCCCGACGTGATAAGGCGCCCGGCGGGGAACCCCCTGCGGCAACTAAAATTTCACTGCCGGTGCGCCGTGTGACGTGTTTGGTGTGGGTTCTGGATCGTCCAGGTCCACAATGTTGATGAACAACAACAACTGATAATTTGCTCTCGCCAATATTTGAAGTATTAGATTAACCTGTTGTAATTGCTGTAGGCTACATTGAGTCTAATAATTTACGCACTTAAAATGCTCTTTTACCCCATTCTTCAATCTCAGAATAACATTGTTAAACACGTAGTGTACATTTTCGATATAAATATTAGTAGGCTGGTCATTTACTGTGTTTGTGATGTTGTCGTATTTTTGAAACTATAATAAACCTAGAAATAGAATCTAGAGCTTTATTCTCTGTCTTGATTTAGAATCTAGAAGTCTGAGATCATGACAATTTCAAACTGACATTGAATGTATAATGAACCGTATCATATACCATGTAGGCCTACCAGTTAAATGTTTGGGTCTTCTAGTCCAGAGTCAAAGCCTAAAACCCTAAACATAATGTCCTAAAATCACTTTAGTTCAGTCCTGATTTTTCCATGGAATACGCTTTAAAAGTCTGTTCTTATATATCTGATTGACACCCTTGACTGAAGGCCAGTCTTGGGTGTTGACTGATTATATCTAGAATGTCTCCAAAGTTCAAGGAATGGAAGTGTTTTTCATTCAATTTTTTAAACGAAAAGAAAAAAATGGTCAATTTTTACTTTTAGACCCGCAGGCTGCTCTGTTTTGAATTTTTTTGTGCAGAACACATATTAATATAATGGCCATTATTAAAACCCTTGCAAATAAATTGTGTTAATTGTGTTCAAGTCAAAGACTTAATTGCCAAAACGTCAAATCATGGTGAAATACAGAGGAGCATTCGGCCCTGAAATCCCCCATGTTGATAATTTAAAAACAAATCAAATATTACTACACCATTGGTCCTAATATATTTCATCTTAAAAATGTCCTTTCATCTCATAAACTAATAATTTGCAGTGGATATAATAAAGTGAAAAGTTGTGTAAAGCAGATAAAAATGATGGTTTAGAATACATCTGAGCTTGAGACGGGTCCATGAGTAAAATAACACAAAAAGTGATATTTTTATAAACATTATTATTATAACACGTGTATAATTATGTCTTCTTTTTTTAACTGTCATGTTCAGTAACAGAAATAGCAATGTGAAAACAAACGTTTCAATGCTTGGACTTTGCTTGCTTGCATTATTCATTATGAATAGATAGGCAAAAGATCTTGCAAAGCAGAGAAGATCTAGCTTGATTCGTTGAAGTAGAAAGAAGAAGCTGGAGAGATATAATTGCCAGTGCGGAGTCTGTCAGAACAATGACAATGTTACTGCTGGTTACCCCTCCCTAATACGGGGTGCCCATGACGGATGGGATCGGCGGGACTGGCCGATCACCCAACTTGGTCGCCTTAAAAACAAGTTTGTTTGTTTTCAGTTTCAGGCGACGTGCGACTCAGCCGTAATGGGCACCCCTTGAGCGAGAGAGAGAGAGAGAGAGAGAGAGAGGGAGATTGATGCACAGAGGGTGTGTTACTTTTGTATCGCTTCTATGTATAAATATTTTCATCATGTAGCTGATAGATTCTATTTATATTATAATACGTTGTATTTCACTTACTTTTCTGCTCCACCTTAGGTGATTTCTCCTCGCACTTCCCTGTTTATTCTCTGTCCATCCTTGCAAGTTACGAGTTGTTTATGGGTGGTTGCCGGGTGCTCTGGTGTGGTGTGCTCCTTCTTTCCTATCAAACATCTATCGTCCTTATGTCTCCTCCTTCTTTTTTTGTATATGTAAAAATGTTACCTTCTTGTAATAGATCTATTTATTCTTCGGCACTTATGACCTTATTGTCTTGGAAGGAAAAGAAATCAAATGAGGTAGTGCTTGATGAAGCCCACGTGGGACGCTCAATGTTAAAAACAATCAGGAAACGACAAATATGCAGTTTTTGGGACACATAAATAAATAGACATAAAGGTCTTGAACATCTAGCTCTCACTGGCAAAATTGAGAGCTGGCGAGGCAGGGGTTGGCCCAGAACAACATACTTAGTGAACCTAAACAAATGGGTAACAGGGAAAGATCAGGGAAACATAGGTTTTTTTAGAGCATCCAAGCAAAGGAATGAATGGAGAACCATGATCGCTGATGTCTGTCGCAGATCTGGCACTGGATGATGATGATGATTTGTTGCAAATGCTGTAAAACTCTTGCTAAAACCTAAAATTGAAACGAGTTTTTTTTTCTTTTCTACCTTTTAAGTTCCTCTCAGGTGAATAATTTGTCGTCCCTACCTGTGTGCTGGCTGTGTGATTTTTGAGTAAGGACGGGAGGAAGTGAGTTATCCAGGAAGGATGTGAGTTCAGTTTTCCTGTGTTCCTTTTTTATTGCATGTGCAGAATACAGTTTGTTAGACGCTGACCGGTTTGTGCGCGGGAGAGGAAGTGAGATGATGGCGTCGGTAGACGCGCGCACGGCCGCTGTCGCTGGACTCGGGGAGAGACCAGGTGAGTGCTCCGGGATCTGAGACGAGATTCTAAATTCTTTTTCTGTGTTTGACAGGTGTGAGAAGATTTGTTCCTTCTTTCTTATCCATCTGACGTCTTTGTCTATATTTCTCCTCCTTCTTTCCTATCCATCTAACATCTTTGTCCTTAAATTTCTCCTCCTTCTTTCCTATCCATCTGACATCTTCGTCCTTATTTCTCCTCCTTCTTTTCTATCCATCTAACATCTTTGTCCTTATTTCTCCTCCTTCTTTCCTATCCATCTAACATCTTTGTCTTTATTTCTCCTCCTTCTTTTCTATCCATCTAACATCTTTGTCCTTATTTTTCCTCCTTCTTTCCTGTCCATCTAACATCTTTGTCTATATTTCTCCTCCTTTCCTGTCCATCTAACATCTTTGTCCTTATTTCTCCTCCTTCTTTCCAATATTCAACATCTACTGTACTTATTGTGCAAGTCTCCCCTCCTTTGATTATATCACAATGGTACTCTCTACAACACCTCTAATCTTTGGTACTTATCATGACCTATTTTTTTGTTGCAAGTGCTGTTAACTAAGACTAAAATTAGAACAACCTGATGTGGACTCTGTAAGGGTCATCGCTATATTTAGATACGTATATATACATGCACCTTTAGTATTGTGTATCCTGCAAGCGTTCTTTCGTAGGTGAGTGCTCTGGTGTGGTTTGCTCCTTCTTTCCTATCAAACAACTATTGTCTTTATCTCCCCTCCTTCTTTTTTGTGTCTGTTACTCCCTTGTAACACCTCTAATCTTCGGCACTTATATGACCTTATTGCTCTGCAAATGCCATAAAACACTTACTAAAACTAAACTAAAACAAGTTACAAAGTCCTTTTTTCATCATGAGCAAAACAAATGAACAAGCTTTAAGATTATATCAATAGCTCCATTTATGCCCAAAAATTGATGAGTGTATCAATTTTATCTGTTGAATCATGTGTGTCAATCTTGCTCTATTGAATCATGTGTGTCAATCTTGCTCTGTTGAATCATGTGTGTCAATCTTGCTCTGTTGAATCATGTGTGTCATGTGTCAGTCTTGCTCTATTGAATCATTCGTGTCAATCTTCGCTCTGTATGTCTCTGCTCAGTGGTCGTGCAGCAGGAAACTGGTTTGCCCCAAGAGGTGACGGAGGCGACCTTGAGTCTGACAGACATGACCTTGGAGCAGGCACGAGCGCGACTGCAGGAGATGCAGAGTTACAACATGTCTCTGAGAGGTAGCAGCCATGTTTGTTGGTAGAGCTTGTTCACTTTCACTTTCTTCTGTCTGCGGTTCCGTCACGTTTTCTATGATTTTTACTTGGGTCTGTGGGTGGTTGGCGGGTGCTCTGGTGGGGTTTGCTCCTTCTTTCCTATAAAAAAACTATCGTCTCTATCTTCCCTCCTTCTTTTTTGTCTTTGTTACTCTCTTGTAACACCTTTAATCTTCTGCACTTGTATGACCTTATAGTGTTGCAAGTGCCGTAAAACTTACTAAAACAAATTACATGGGCGGCTTTCCGCTACAGTTATTGCATTCGCTATACTCCGCTACCCAGTAATGCGCCACCACTTTCTGTACATATAGTCAAGAATGCAAATATTTGGTAAGTGACTCCTACTTGAAATTATCTTCAAAACCCTCAAATTGGTTTGAAATAACCCTATTTTGATAAATTGATGGTTTTTATTTCAGCATTCTAGGGTTAAACAGTAGGCCTATAATAATAATGGGTGTCTCGCAAAAATGTTCTTCTGTGGCGATCATGCGGAAAGTTCCTCCTTTGTTTAAATTCTGAGTTGAGACCCATGTTTTTATCCTACTAAAGTGAGTTAAAAAGAGAAAAAAAAAAGATAGGGGATTTATGGCACTCACCTAAAACATGAAAAGTTGACCTATTTTCATCCACTCTCTCCCTCCATTTGCCCCTCTGTGTGCGTCGCCCTCGAACCAGTCCCTTCTGTGTTGTTGTCAGAACAGCTTTTTGTTTGTCATCATGGTAGAATCAGACTCTGGTAGTAGTGGGTGGTTGGCGGGTGCTTTGGTGTGGTTTGCTCCTTCTTTCCTATAAAACATCTATCGTCTTTTTTCTCTCTTCCTTCTTTTTTGTGTTTATTACTCTGTTGTGACACATCTATTCTTCGGCACTTATATGACCGTGTTGTGTTGCAAGTGCTGTAAAACTCTTACTAAAACTATAAAAGACTCGTAGAAATCATCATGGTAGAATCAGACTCTGGTAGTAGTGGGTGGTTGGCGGGTGCTCTGGTGTGGTTTGCTCCTTCTTTCTTATAAAACATCTATCGTCCTTACCTCTCTTCCTTCTTTTTTATGTTTGTTACTCTCTTGTAACACCTCAAATCTTTGGCACATATATGACCTCATTGTGTTTTAAGTGCCGTAAAAATCTTACTAAAACTAAAGTACTTAACCCTATCCGTACGTTGTGCTTTACTATCATATCCATACGACGGGGGGAACTCTGCCACCGCTTTCCGAAGAGGAAATTTACTCCTTAATCCTTTGCATAGCAGTCTGTCAAAATGATTTTTTGAGAAATACTGAAAGTTTCAAAGAGATCCTCGTACTAGAAGTATTCTAAAATGTGAAGAATACAACCCCGGGGGTACTAAATGACCCCTGGGTGTACGGACAGGGTTAAAGCGTACGTGTGTTGGTTTCCTCCCCTCAGACAATCTGCGCGAGCACAACAAAGTGATGAAGGAGCAGTTTGAGGCTCTGTCGGACTGGCGCAAGCGCGAGACGGGGAAGTTTGAGCAGACCAAGGCGTTGATCACAGCTCTACGGGCAGAGAACCAGGAGCTCCAGCTCAAAGTTATGACCCTTGAGGATAAAACGGTCAGTTGGGCGACAGTTCTCGTGTGGCAAAGTACCCAAAACATGTGAGGCATCGTGGTGAAATCAGGCACTGGTCAAAATAACAAAATTGGATAAACGGGCATTTTCCCACTGGTTTCGCAATTTTAATAAAATTTTGTTTGTTTTTTGCAACGCTTTTTTTATGTCTATGTCTGAATAAAAACACGTTTCCATGTGAATTATATTGAAAAAAGTTGATTAAAAGCTCAAAATAAGCAATTTTTCAGTTTTCAAGGACTCATTAGCTGTTGAAGTTACCAAACTTTGGCGGCCATTTTCTCGCTATTTTTACCGCTGAAACCAAGTGAACTTACCTCTTTCAATCACAAATATCTTCATTTCCTCTCTAGATTGATATGTATTTTTTTCATCAAAAGCAAGATAAATGAACAAGCTTTTAGAAGATACTAAAAACTCCACATGCACAAAAATTGACGAGTGCCTGATTCCACCACGTCGTGACACAAATCATCGGCATACTGATCCGATGTACTTATCCAAGAAAGAAAATTTTTACAGGAGAGAGAAAAAACTTTCATTCTCCTTTACAGTTGTGCCTTCATTTTTTATACTTTTTCTTGATTTTTCAACTTTAAGACTTTGAATTTCAACAAAATATGTCTTGAGTACATCCAACAGATACCACAGATTAAAAAACTACTTTAGAAACATTTTCATAGTTTTGGGCTTCGTACATCATGACCTCAGTGCTTTCTGGTCATTCCTCCTTTTTTTCAGGGATTGCACTCTTCCGCTTTTTTCCGATATTTCCGGTATTTTGATCCTGATCCGCTATTCTGTTAATGAGATCGAGATAGAATCTATAGTTGGGAAAAAAACAACCCAACCC